TTTAATAAAATTTTGAATGTAAGACACTAAAACTTTGTGTCATGTGCACTAAAGTGTACCCGGGCCGATAGGGTTAAAAGAGTCATAAAATAGAAAATCAGACCACTCTTGCTATGCTCACCTGTTACATTCTTTCTTTTAGAAATTGCCAATAGTTCTCTCTGACATTCAATACTATTTTATTTATAACCAGAAGAAAGCCAAACTTTTAATCTATTAAATGACGTATTTAGGTTTTCTGGACAGAGAACTGTCTATTTTGCTTCCAGTTCAAACTTTATTCCTATAGGAAACACATTGATGAGCTCAGCTAAAATTTTTAATGCCTGTTATCTCAGTTAGAAAACCCCCAAAAAATTGTAACAGTTATGGGACGTTGTCTGCTTTTTATAAGTTTTATTCTTTATCCTTAGGTGCATTATTTATTTCAATAAATAATTATCTAGTACAGGTAAAAAAGACCCAGGTAAGTAATATATTTCTTGTTTTTCATGTGTATTCTTTACTTATCATTATAAAAGTAACTAAAATGTAAAAATTTGAAACTTTAGATTAAATAAGGTTAAATTAGGCAAAATAAACAACAATAATAATAAAATATTTTCACATGGTATGCTCACATGCAATTTGCAAATAGCCTATGTGTTATCTAATTCAATAGGGTAACATGAGCTACATGTTTGCCAATTGATTTACAACTTGTGTGGTGGGAATATGTGTAGAGGTGGTTGAAAGGGCAATAAAATAACAAAGTTTAAGTATAAAGAGATGTATACTGTTATGAGATTAGGATTTTTTTTGGTGGTTACAAGTTTGGTCAAATTGACCAACCTTGTATATAGTTAGGTTAGAAAAATAATAGATAAAATATAAAGTTTCACTGGAAAATAATGTTTGAAATTTATTTAGGAGATTTTATAGATTATGCAAATGAAACTTGAGATTTTTCAGATGAATAAAATAATTTTTAATCTTAACTTGGAGCAGTCAGTACTTTGACTCCATATGTTCATGGAGGAATTTGTAATGAAAATACTTCATTAAAAATTCCGATTTTTTTGTCTACAAATGACGTATTCTAACTGAAAGCTTCCATAAGTTTGTGATGATAAACAAAACATATTAGTAAATTATAGTATGTAAAGGTTAATTTGGGATCACTTTTTAGGTCAAATCAACTGAGCCCACAGGGAGAGAGTTAATCTGGATAACTTGATTTAGTTAAATTGATAAAGTAATATTATACAACACTTAAGACACCTCAGAAAATGTTCTCAAAAGTGAACCAGTTCTTTGCTTTGTATAGCTTTAGATATTATAATAAAGCATTGAGAATAGAGATATAGCAGAAGTTTTGAGAGAATTGTGAATATAAAATGTGCTGTTAAAATTAATAAATTTGATTTACTTTTTCTCTTACAGTTTATCAACAGTTTTGTAATTTTTCTCATAAATAGTTGTGTTTTCTTGGCCATCAGTTAAGAATAGCAAAACACTAGTACAATTCAACAATATGCAATATTTATATTAGCAGATTGGCATTATTTTGTACATATAAAAATGATATATTTTTTTCTTTTATTTAGCTACCTTTGGATCAGATAAGTCAAGATTTGAAGTATGAGTCTGAAGATCGACTGCTTAATGATGAAAATCTTAATAAGGTAACTGGTGTATTTTAAAGCACAAGAAGCAAGATATAATATATAAAAACGTTTAATGAAACTTGCATCTTTCCCATTTAAAAATAAAAGAAAAATACAGTACATAATTGCAAAATACTTTTTTATGAGACAAAATTGTTTTTCTTTGTTGTTTTTCCTCTAATTAATCAGTAAAAGTTTAGTGTTGTGATTAAATATCTTGACAATGCATGACTTTGTTACAATGCATATTTGTCAAGTAGTCATAAATTATAATTGAATACTTATATTGAAATATGGTAAAAAGAAAATACCAGATTTATCTTTTATATAATGAAAAATTTGTAGTATGATAAAACTAAAGCTTAATTTATCTTTTGTAGTTGTGCTGTGATAAAGTTTTTTGTTATCTTGTAAAAAACTATACATCAATACTATATCTTACACAATTTTGATTGTAGGCCTAAGAATTAATAATTTCCATAAATTATTTACTTTTTTATAATTAACTGTTTCTGGACCATTCTATTCATTCTCACAGTGAAAATTCTCTCCCACATTTGTAAATAGTCTTGTTTATGTGAAAACAAATTCACAGAATTTTTTGTTTAGTATTTGTATAATTTTTTTAGGTATTGAAATGTTAAGTTGTTTGTTTTTATCCAGTCAGTTTTAATGTGTTTGATATTCATCAGTATATTTATTTCAATACTTTATTTTGGCAATTGAAGCATTCAATTTTCCACTGTAAATCATACAAATATCATTAAATGGTATGACTGACAAATATTTACCACTGAACAATGACCACTTTTCAACATGGTAGCACCATTGCTTATGTCCATTGTGATTGCATGATATTTTGCCAACGGTTTTTTTGGTCGAGATTAATTTATATCTAATATTTATAGTTTGTTTTCCATAAGTAAGATCTTGTATTTGTGTATGTTGTTGAACACAAAAGATCTTATATTCAATAGAGGAAGGATTTGTATCATTCAAAGCCTTAGCTTACTGTACTCACTAAACCTCAGTATCATTACTTGGTGTCTTCTATACAACACAAAAATCATTATCAGGAAAGAAAAAATCATCTTGAGAAATTATATAAAAGCTCCAAGCCTCTAAGTACTTGAGAAGTATTTACAAACTTCTTATTATCTTGAGGCTGCTTCTTCACTTTTGAATGTATCCAACTTGTAATTTTCAAACGAGACTTGAAATTTAGATTTCATATCATTAAAGCTTACCATTTTTCATTTCTGATGATTATTGGATGTATGCCTTTTCAAAGCTGAGTGTTTGTCAAAAATTTTCTAGACCTTCCACATAGTGCAGTCAGTGTGGGATCAACCAATATACTTTCATCTAGAACCTAAATGAACAGACAGTGGAAAAACATGAAATAAATATCAAAGTTTAGGAGTCAGCAAAAAATTTAAATTACAGTTTAGACACATGATAGGAATGAAAGTTTAAGCATTTTTTTATTTTATTTATGAAATAAGCATTATATAAGGCTAAATTATCCATTCTGCTATATTTTTGAGTAACAAATTGATGAAATACAAATAGGATTATACTTTTTAACTTAAGTTTGGAAGTTGATTTTTGACTATATGCACTCTTGAGTGACTGAGCATCCACTTGTAGGGAGAGGGTTAATAAGAGATGCACTGAACCTTTTCTCCATGTATAATTTTAAAAAATTGACACAAGTAAGTTCTAATAATGTAATTTTACTATAATGGAGCAGTGGCAATGCCATCTATATATCTATGTATGTGACTGAAATAATAAATATAAGTAAGTCTGAAATAGCAACATGGATAGGCTTTAAACTTGGTAGAAATGTTGGGTGTGACTAAAGAACACAATCTGAACACTT